AGGAGAGGAGAGGAGAGGAGAGGAGAATTGCTGCCTGAATCGTTTCCAGAGACGGAGGAGGTCAGGAAGTCTCACCTCGCTGTTGAGGAAGCAGTAGAGGACGGCGACGATGAGGCCCTGAAACAAGCAGAACGACACAATCATAAACCTGCAGACGTAACTTTTAAGCCGCGGTCTGTCAGTCAGACCTTCCTCACTGAAGAGCAAACAGTGGTTGATTCTTAGACCAAACTGGATAAGATCGGCTTCATGTGTAAAAATCGTCCGATCTCCTAAAATCAAAGAAATCGGCATCGATAAATCGACTGGCTGATAAATCGGTGCACCCATAGTTTCATTTTCTTTTCTTTCTGTTTTCTGAACACAGGCAACAGTTAAAACAAAATTCATAAATTGTTAAAACAAAAAAATAATAATAGAAACAAAAATGTTAATGAGTTCAGCGTTTAAACTCCAGTTATTTGGATTCTTAAAGGTTCTGAAAACGTTTCCTGACCTGGAAGGAGCCAAGGCCGAGATCGAAGAAGATCTTGATCCGCTTCAGCGTTTCATCGTCCGGCTCCATCAGGTAGAAGAAAACTACGTAGTTTATTCCGAACAGAGGGATCAGCAGCAGCGTGGACTTGGCCAGGCGCCTGACAGCAGGTCAGAAACAAGGAAACTACAGCAGGAACTACAGCAGGAACTATAACAGGAACTACAACAGGAACTACAACAGGAACTACAACAGGAACTGTAAATGATTTTTTACAGTACCTGTACTGTGATTGGTCGTTTCCTCCGATGTGTGAGCTGCGTAGTTTCTGCACCAGGATCCGAATGATGCTGATGAACAGCAGGAAGTTTATCTTCAGGGGAAACAGAGCAGACAAACGGAGCTTTTATAACATAAATAAGTTATTTTTTATAGTGTAAAATGTAAATAAAAACAGTTTATAAGAGAACAAGAGCAGCATTTAAATAGTGCTGACAGAAAATTCATTTCAACCAGGTAAAGGTCTAAAAACCTTTAAAAAAGATAAATAAATAAATCTCACGATGACGGACGCCATGATGGGCCAGTTGATCAGCCGGTCAGGAACAGGGTTGTCGTTTATCTCCCAGCACCTGACAGGAAATACAAACCGTTTTCAAATGTTCCCTGAAGTATTCATCAAACTCATTTCACCAGGTGTGATGGCCGTCCAAACTCACCTGGTGTCCTCCAGGTTGATCCGGCTGACGATCCAGGCCACGGTGAAGACAGACGGGATTCCTGAGAGAGAGAGAGAGAGAGAGAGAGAGAGAGAGAGAGAGAGAGAGAGAGAGAGAGGGAGGTTCTGTTCAGGTTCTGCCAGATGGAGAGCGTCTCACCGTGGTGCGTTCAGGAAGTGCAGTGTTTAACAGCGCCGGTGAAGCATCGGCTGCTGGGGACGTTTTGATAGATGGAGGAAGAAAAGAGCAGCCGGAACAAAACGGACCGGGAGGCATGGGAATGTTTACAGGATGACGCACCGTCTGCGGCTCCGCCGAAAGACGGCCTATTTAAAGGCCGTTTGGTGATGTATGTACCCCAGGAAGCAAAGGAGAGAGCTGACCCAGGAGATTAGAACAAAAATTATAGACTAGCACACTGTAAAAAATATAAAATTGTAAAAATTATTTTTTCGTCTATTTTCTATTGCAAATATCTCAGTAAACTTGAAATAAGACAAAACTAACTTATAAGTAACTTTTCATCAAGCTTAAGTCACTAATTCCTTAATGTTGATGAAAAGGTAAAAATTCCACTAATAAATTACAATAACATGAGGAAAATGTCTTATAAGTGAAATAATCTGCCAGTAGTTCTATTTTTAATTATTTACACAAAACCAGCTTTTATATCTTGCTGAAAAGTTACTTATAAGTTAGTTTTGTCTTTTTAACTGTACTAAGATATTCCCACCATAAACTAAATAAAAAAAATCCTTGGCAGGTTTTTGTGTTTTTGCAGTGCAGCTCTTCAGGAAACAGAAAGTTCACGATTAAAGGAATGTAAACATTTCGACAAAACCACAAAATAAAGACGTCATCGTTTGGGGAGGAACGGCAGAAAGCCAACAGTTTGAACAGAAATAGTTGGAAATCAGCTGAGGATCCCTGAGCTGCTGGTCCAGCAGCTCATCCCCGAGGAGAGAAAACCTTCAGATCTTATAACTTTAGGTCCAGACGTAAAGTCAAACACGACACAGAGACGCTTCAGGGCCGATCAGAATGATTTCCTCCCTTAAACCTCGGCAGGATTTAGTTTTTCCAAAAGATGGAATTTATTCAGAAATTATTTAACACCAACAAATAAATACAACTTTTGAGAAAAACTTACAGTCGGGTTCAAAATATATGTTTAAAGTAAAACGTCTAAAATTTGCATAAGAGAATCTATTTTGTTTTTTCAAAAATATTTACTTAAAACAAGCTCCTGTTTCTCACTTCTAAGTTAGTTGTGTCTTTTTTAAAGTGTACTGAGATATTTACACCATAAACTAACGACTTGGCTTTGTGTTTTTGCAGTGTAGATCCTCTCTGTCCACCCTGGTCTACATGGAGCTGATCGTTCAGCCGGTGCGGTCCACTGGGACGGACGGACGTCCAGCTCACCCCAGCCAATCAGCATGTAGACGGAGAGGTGGCCGCAGTAGGTCCAGATGACCAGCAGCAGCATGTGCAGGTACAGACCCTCCACCAGCAGCCAGAAGAAGTTCGCCATGACGAAGTAGTTGAAGAAAACCAGGCTGGCCTTACAGCCCACCTGGAACAGAAACCAGGACACGGATGTGGAGGTGAGAAACTGAAGGTGTTTGAAATACAGGCAGCAAAAAACGTTTACCTGCTTTATTAGTTTTAGTTTTTTACCTTCAATGCAAATTATCTGCTTATGTCACCATAAATACTGTTAAACCATTCAGCACAACACTCTCACTTTCGCCAACATCTACGCTATTTATGCTAAGCTAAGCTAAAAGATTTTAAGATAAACCAAACAGACGAAACAGAATGAGCTTTCAGGACAGCCATGTTTGATCAGCTGAACAGAAAACACCTGATAAACACATCAAACTCGTCCAACAGGCCAACAGGCATCGTTTATGTTCACTCTGCAACACATGCTTAGCTAAATGTGTGAAAATATGCTGCAGATTAACAATGAGGCATGTTTTGGCTAACGCTACATGTAGCCACTCGTCATAACGGCTACCTGGAAGGATATCAGGTAACAGTCAGTATGTTGAGCCAAAAAACTTACAGACTTTTACCAAATATTCAATGAACAGGAATGCAGCACTTGGTGCTAATGTGTCAAATAAAGAGAAAAGCACAGGAACAAAATGGCGGCATGAGAAGAGACATTTATTTGTTTCTCTGCTTCGATCCTGACTTAACTGAGACACAACGAGTAAATATTTATGATAGTAGGATTTGATCAAATAAGCCCAAGTAGTTTCTGCAGAGTTTTCCGAGTGTTTTCTGTCTTTTTTCTGTGTTTTCATGTGTTTTTTGTGTTTTCTGTGTGTTTTGTGTTTTTTATTTTCTGTGTGTTTTGTATGTGTTTTGTGTGTGTTTTGTGTTTTCTGTGTGTGTTTTGTGTGTGTTTTGTGTTTTCTGTGTGTGTTTTGTGTGTGTTTTCTGTGTTTTGTTTTCTGTGTGTGTTTTGTGTTTTCTGTGTGTTTTCTGTGTTTTCTGTGTTTTGTTTTCTGTGTGTTTTGTGTTTTCTGTGTGTTTTTGTGCTTTCTGTGTGTTTTCTGTGTGTTTTGTGTTTTCTGTGTGTTTTTGTGTTTTCTGTGTGTTTTCTGTGTGTTTTCTGTGTGTGGAGTCACCAGAGACGGCTGTGTGCTGCAGTCGGTGCTCTGGTCCTCTGAGAAGAGCAGTGTGTCTTTGGTCAGCACGGCCACGGCTCGCAGCATGAAGGACACAAACAGGTTCAGATGGATGTAGTTCCTCATGCAGTGGAGCCTCCTGCACACACACACACGCACGCACGCACGCACGCATGCACGCACGCACGCACACACACACACACACACACACACACACAGAGTGTCAGGAGGAGTGTTTACAGGGAGAGTCGACCCGGTGGGTGACGTGTTGTCCAAGCAGCAGCTGGAGTTCCTCCTAACCGAGTCACACACACCAACACAGCGAGCTGCTTCGACTCACTGGGACACGAAGGATCCCAGTTTAGAGCTTCTGCTGTTAATTGGTTCATCTTATCTCCATGTTCCTGAGTTTCTTCACAGAGAAACCGTTCTGGGAGTAAACGCTGAGACTCCCACATGCTGGACGCGTCGCCATAAATGTCTCTACACTATAAATAAAACCTCTTAAGAAGATAAATGCAGATTTAATAAACTGTGCGGTGACCTAACATGATTTATAAACTCTCTCTTTTTACAGGATTTTCCCAGAAATGTTTCAAATTCCAAAAATCTTTTCATGTTTAGACAAACGGAAAAGTGAAAACATAAACTTCATGTTTTTGCTGCTTAAAAACGCTGCATGAGTCAAAACAGCATCTCTGGTGAAGATGAATTAAACATCCAGATGTGAGTTGATCCTTACAGAAGTCTGCATTTATGGGCAGAAAAATGATTTAAACACATAAAAATCATCAAGCTAAAAGAACAGGAGGGCCAAAAAAAGTTTCTTTTAACCTATTTATAAATGAACTAAGCTGGTAATATTTTTATTAAACAAAGTCAGATTTAGGAATGTCTCAATTATTCTAGATCCAAAACTTATCAAGTTTCTGCAGATCTTATTAGAAGTAATTCTCCAGTTTTTTTAGGTATCAATTGGAAAAAAAGAACAATTTTAGTCACTTCTGATCAATAAAATCAGGATTTCAGTCTTTGAAAATGCTTGGTGTATTTAGAAAATTAATTAAAAGCAGGTCAGAGCAGCAAAGCAAAGTTTGGTTTGGAGTAAAAATCACTGAGAAAAGGATCATTTTCACATCTTTGCAGCAACATAAAGCTGAATGAACTGCAGGTCGTGGTGGAACATCTGCTGGAAGGCAGACGACCCGACCATCAGAACCGACCCGATTCTGGTCCAGACCTTCTCAAACCAAAAACATTCATCTGGTTATGTAACAAAACAATCAGGTTAAACTGGCACTGAGCAGAAGAAGAAAAATGTTCTTCTTCTGCAGCTTTCAACAGGCTGCCGGTCTAAAATATCTCATTTCAGATTTTATTTGAGTTTTTCTGAGCTGCAGACTCAGAGAGTTGAATGTAAGCAGGAAGTGTGATGCTTTGGGAGCGCCGTACCTGAAGGAGCAGATGATGGCGGTGCTGGTGATCAGAGCGCCGAGCGACAGGCTGTGACCCAGAGTGGACAGGATGTGGACCACTCTGTAGAAGACCAGCTGCACACAGACATCACTGGATGAGGAACAATGAGGCCGTTCATCAAAGCCGCTCATAAAACATGAGGCGCAGCTGGGCTGGCCGCCGTGAAACCGCATTATGTTTCATAAACACAAGTGAAAATGGATTACGAGACGCAAACCGAGGCCAGCGCCGCTGTTTATAAAAAACAGATTCTTCTGTTCAAATAAATCTCATCTGAGTGCAAAAATGTTTACGAGAAAAGACACAAATTCAACCAAATATTTGTGAAGACTGAAGTAGAATAAGGAGGTTTCACAGAAAGCTGAACAATGCAACATTTTTACCGAAGCAGCTTAAAGTCCTACAAGCTTTAAAAAACACAAACTTTCTCTTGTTTTAAACGAGATGTGAAGCAGAGGAACGTTTCCCTCCTCAAGACAGGAAAGACAGCAGAACATGTAAGATGGTTTGGAAAGAAAATGACTCATTTAAACCAACAGAGGAGGGCAGGGCAGCTAAAAATATACTGAGAGCAGAACTACGTCAACTATACTAGAGTAAAAGTATCAAGAAGTTACTCAAGAGTAACAAAGTATTTGGTATTCAAGTACTGAGTAACTGATCAAATTATCAATCAGTTAATATTTAAAAATTACATCATCAGATGGACCAAAATTTAAAGTGGAACTTTTGGTATTTTAAGAAACAAAATGACAATAATTTATATAAGTAACAAAAAATAAAAGAAAAGGTTTCCGAATCTATTTTTTTTAAATAAAAAACTTATAAAACTTTAACAGAAACTGCAGGTGTGTGTCTGTCTGGTGAGTTTCTGGTAAAAACATGTTTGTTTTTCATTAAGAAGGAAGAAAATACAGAAATTTTACTCAAGTGAGAGAATAAATACTTTGCAATAAAATTACTGAAGCAACAAGTGCAGCGTAGTAAAAATACTCCTAAAAGTAAATTTTTTCAAAAAAGTTACTCAAGTGAATGTAACTAGTTACTACTTAACTCTGGCTGTGAAACAAAGATCCGCCTCTCCTGTCACTCAGAGTTAAGTACAGTGGAGGTTCCGTCATGCTGTGTTTTTCCACCTGGCTGAGGTGAAAACCTCTTCCAGGTGCATTTAAACTCTTTACATGAAGAGTTTTAAACTCTCCAGTGAACTGAAGTGAGTTCTCAGAATAAGTCTCTTCTTTCTCCAACGGGAGGAGGCTCTTCAGAATAAGAGCGGGGTCTGCTCCGTCTCACCGTCTTCTGCGCCTGGCGTTCGTCGCTCTCTGGTCAGCTGTAAACAACATTCCCCACGGCTGACACGCCATCGCACAATTAACTCCACACACACACACACACACCACCAAAACACACTCAATATATAGCAGCACGAGTAAAAATAGCTGCATGCATGTCTGCCTCTGAAACCCTGAACACGGCGCGGAGCAGAGAGATGAACTGGTTCAGAATGAACTGGTTGAGTCTGAACTGGTAGAGACTGAACTGGTTTAGACTGAACTGGTCGAGACTGAACTGGTTCAGAATGAACTGGTTGAGTCTAAACTGGTTGAGTCTGAACTGGTAGAGACTGAACTGGTTCAGAATGAACTGGTTGAGTCTAAACTGGTTGAGTCTGAACTGGTAGAGACTGAACTGGTTGAGACTGATCTGGTTCCCATGAAGACAGATTCCAGTAGGAGATCCAGGCGAAGCGTGTTGGATATTTACAGCGACATTCCTCGTTTTCCTCAAATATTTCCTTATTTGGAAACTCACAGCTCTTCTCTGCTTTCTGTCTCAGCCATTCAACTCATTTCTGCTCAAATATTCTCAAATCAGAAAGTATTTTGCTTTCTGACACCCTCATCACCTTCACGCTTCACTCGGCTTAATTGCTGTTTACAGTTGAAACCAGATATTTACATGAACGGAGTGAAAAGTCAAAGTTTTTTGATTTACAATTTACAGCAACCTCAGCTGACTAAAGAAGATAAATGACATAAAATTAAGTTAAACGACAATAAAATTGAAAGGAAAATACAGAAAATAACAATACGAATAAAAAACGTGAATCAATTAAGTACTATTTTTTTTATTTTAGCCATCTTGTGATAAAAGACACACATTTTTCTTGTACTGTCTGAAGTTAAATCAGACCAAACTTCTCTTGTTTTAGTTTCGTTAAAATAACCAAAATTATTTCTATTTGCTAAATAACAGAAATCTTGGCAAGAAAATATTTTTGGGAAATTTTTTTGCAGATTTTCTCAAATTCATTCCAAAGTTGGTACCAATTTGGTCAGAGTCCAGATAAATAAATGTCTTTTAAAACGTCTGTTTGGTGTTCGAATCTTTTGGGTTTCCTGCCACATTTTCATTTAAATCTGTTTCAGAGGGTAACCGCTGTGAGAAAAACCCAAATAAAACACAGGAAAAGCCTTTTAGCTGCAGGTTGGTTTGACTTTTCATCACTTTAGAAGCTTCTTTGACAGAAAAGTTGGAATTTACTCTGGTTCATGTAACCACTACAGATTTGTGTTTGAAAACATTCAGTGTGCAGCGAGGACTTGAGCAAAAGCTCTAACTGTTTTGCAGCAGACGTCCCTGCAGGCTGCGGCTCTCTGAGGAACAAGCCTCTGTCGTTTACGTTCACGGCACCGGAGTGTAAACTCACACAGCAAACCGGCCAGGCGAGTCGGAGCGCGTCTGAAATGAGCTCAGAGGTTTGGATCTGCGATCCAGCCGATAAATCCTGCAGAGTGTTAAAGCCTGAAGCGTCTAACAGCTTTATGGCTTTACTTCCTCCAGCGTCTCTGTGTTCGCTGCACATAATCAAACCCAAACAGGCAGAAACGATCAAACCGGGAGACGTGATGAGCTGCTGGGTCTGAGCTAAACTTTCATCTCAAACACTTTAAATATTAAACTAAAGTTTCACTGAAATGATCTACAGGATTAGTTTCCTGTGCTGATTTCTCCTGTTTTCCCATAACGTATCGTCCTTCCTCTGCATCTCCTGAAGGTTCAGTTCCTGTTTTACATGCAGAATGAGGATCAGCAGCCGAGACGGAGTTACGCTGGTTTCATGAGACGTGGTGCTGAAAGATGTGCAGGAATAAATCTGACCCACGCTGACCGCAGCTGGGACTGACAGGACTTAACGGACCTGCTGACTGGGAGCGTGACACCGCAGGGCTCGGTCCGAGGTCCTGCAGAGTCCAGCCGTCACATCAAGAACCGCTAACTGCAGTCCGGCCAGCCGGTACGCTTCAGAGCATTTCTGCAGCTCAGAATATCCTCAAACTTCATTTTCTGTTTTTAATGCTGCTGGGATTTTTGTTTCTCTAATGCAGAGCATTGAAGCCAAACTAAACGTATTGATACAAACAGCAGAAATGCTGAAAATAAATGAATAAATGTTTTTATTTAAAACGAATAAAATGATTACAAGTTGAAATAAGAAACAAGGAAATATGACAAACATGAAGAAAATCAAAATCAAGTTTTTAAAGGTCTTAAGATTTAAAGATGGCCAACGACGAAACTTTTCTAATTCAAACCATGAAACCCAAAAGCTTCCAGAAACATCACTGGTTGCTTTCTGTCACTGGCTGCTTTTCTGTTTACCATGAAAACTGAATAAATTTGAAATACAAACATAAATTCACTTCCTGGAAAAACAGCAATTTAGAAAAAACTCAAGGTTTTTGCTAAAAGGTTTTTGCTTTATGAAGAGGTGTTTTTCTCCTGCCGTATTAGAATCACAGTATTTTGTGAAACTATAATTAAAACTTTTTTCGCAGCATGTGATCAACAACCAGATGTTACTACTGGCGGAAACGAAGAAGAAGACGACAGGAAGTGGTTTTAGGATGATGGAGCTGCATGTTTTTAATGACTTATCGTGTAAACAAACTTATTCACGTGTGATTTTATTTGTTTCTTATTTAAAGGAAACATCATAAATGTGTTTTTTGGACATTAGCTGTTTCCTGGTGAAGGAATCGCAGCTGAGGCTCCATTCTGCTTCAGTTCTCTGACGTTTCCAGACATTTGTTTCTGCACAGCTTTCTGAAAACTCCGATGTGGAGAAGATAAGAAACAGCAATAAAAATCTTTTAATCACGTTTAAAAACTAAAGCCAGTCCTAAAGCACAACATGAGGGAGGATGTGTGTTTGCATGGAGACAATTAAGATTTAGGCTTTCTGCTTAAACCGCCTGTTTAAAGCTATAAAGCAACAGAATCCTGGAATGCAGTAAGTAATAACTGGAAGGTCAGAGTTGAGCTGCATGGCATCGGTCTGGAGGCCTCCAGGTTAAAAAACGGGGTTCACTCAGACTGCGGCCGGAACCGCAGACGACATGGAGAAAAGGTGAAGAACGGACCTGAAACACGCAGGAATAACCTGCAGCAGCGTCACTCCACTGATAATCCTCCAGAGTCAGGCAGAGGCAGGAAGCTGCAGGACCTGCGTCAGGTCAGCAGGCAGAAACGGATCCAAACCGACCGAGACGGAGGCAGACGGACCGAGACGGAGGCAGACGAGGTGGGATTAGAAAGCAGAGCGCCTCGACCGTGAACTGAACCCCTCAACTGGGAGGTAAAGCCAGCGTCTCGCCACAAACCACCTGACTAATAACCTGAGATCCAACCAGAGCAATCCTAGGAATCCTGAACCCTCATGACCTCTGACCTCTGCAACCTGACACTCCAGCAAGTCACCAAAGTCTCACCACAACAATCTACCACATCAATCTGGAGTAGTGAAGCTTGTATTGCCATCGACCCTTTGCACGTGACGTCACGCTCTTCTGAACTCGGCCATGACGGATCAATCTGCTCCTGTAAAGCTGTTAAAACACAGACATCCTGATGTCACTTTCATTTAGTTGGTTTCATGTTATAAATGGCTTTATGGTGCTGCACGGTCAGCGGCACAGACAGACAAGCACAGAAGCCAAACTTGTCGTTTTATTGTATAAGTTTTACTGAGGAAACATACGGCAGCGATGACAGCAGCCGTCGGTGTGAACACGGATCTACAGCAAACACTTTTACAAGGTAAGATGATTAACGGTCATATATTTTATAAGTATGATTAGAAAGATATCAAACACTGCAATATGGAGAAGGGACGCGGCTAACTAATAGTAACCATGGAGACAATCCGGTAGCCTAGCATGTATGATAAAAACAGGTTAGCATCTGGTATTTTGTACGTTTTTAATGCTGCTTCGGTGTAAATGGAAGGACTTTTTATGACAGTGACACAAATCATGAGGTGTGAATTCAGGGAAAGTCGGTAATTTGATCAATACATCAGGAAGGAGGAGGTTTGGGTCGGTTTCTGGGCTAGCTAGCACCGTCTGTGAGCTCCAACCAGGTGTGTTACGTTCAGACAAATTAACTCGACTCAAACAAGAAGAATCCACAAATAAACTGACAAAAATAACTTGGGGAAACATTTTCAGTTCTTTCTTCTGACGTCCTGCAAAAACAGAAACACGGCTCATCAAATCAAAGAGACGTAACTAAGGAACACAGAAATGAACAAAACCAAAGATGATGACAGTTATGGTTCGCAAACCCTGAATCTACTGATCCAGTTTGAAGTAGAGACTGAAACCACTGAGCAACACAAGTTCAAACATCAGGAATCAACAGTTAGCATCTGGCAGCTGTGAGTTTCAAACTACATCCTGTAAAAAACAAACCAAAACAACAAAAATTAGTCCAGGAAGAACATTAAAGTCAGTCACCATCGAGGGAAACGTAGATCCTGTTTGTGTTTCAGTCCCTGCAGCCCAATTCACAGAAAAACTCTGATTTATCAGTAAAAACGGTGCCACTGAAGACAGAACCTGAAACGACTCTAGAAATCCTGCAGGGTAAAACTGGGTCTGTGGTTTGTTTGCTACCTGCAGCAGCTTTTCAAAAGTGGGTCAAACTAGAGATTTAATGCAGTTTTTCTCCCATTAGAGCAAATTTACCGATCTGAAACCGTTTCCTCTCTGTTACAGGATGGGATTTTTCAGTTCCTTGGTTGAAGCTCACAAAAGAGCAAAACTGTGGTTTGAATGTTTTTCACATTAAGATTGAAAAGTGAAATTCAGCTGCTTTTTCAATAACTACCATAAATGTTTCATAAAATGCTTAATTTTTAGTTTGTTAATCCTCTTGACTTGGATCTATAAATCATTCAAACATAAAAAGGTGTGAGATAACTTTGGACAAAGGAAAGTTTAGCAGGGCAGCACAAACGGCAAAAAAAGCTTTGAAAGAAAAAAAACTGTCCAATATGGCCGCCAGTCACCTGAAACATGACGAATGCAGCAGCATAAACTGTTTACTGCTCTGAGTAAACCCACAGTGCTGCAGAAAATCTATCTGTAAGCATGTTTAGTATTTGAACGCACCACATGGAGAGAATTTCACTGTTATTAGCTTGTATTGCTAATAGTTGTTAGCATAGCGATGAGCTAATCCCCTTCCAACTACAGAAACTCAACTTGGGTGGATCTGAGATCCAACAAACACAAATTCACCCCATTATTCTACCAAGCATGGTAGCATGGTTAGCATGCTAAGCTATTTAGCATGCTAACTTACAGTAGGACTGGTAACTTGTTTTGGACTGTAGGGTTTTTTTTTTTTTTACCAGCAACGTGTTACAGAAATAAGTTAATTCAGCTGAATATATAAAACAACATGAGGAAATTCCCACAGTTTGACAGAAACTAGGAGTTTTAGTCCAGGAATGTGACTCTGAAAGAGCTGTTAGCTGAAAAGCAAATCCCATGTCATGTTTCTTAAAATGTGAGTTTTACGCAGTGTTTATCATCTGGAAACAGTTTTATCAGATCTGGCACTTTTCCACTTTCCTCTGGACTGACAGACAAATAGCAGCTGCAGTTCAGAGGAAAACTTTGGAAAGTCAGAAAAACTTTAATATCACTGAAGCTGACTTCAGTCTGGTGTTTCAGAAAGGAAAACATGCCGAATAACTAAAATCTGTAAAACAAACTTCCTGTGAGGACTTGTCAGAGACGTTTCCTTGAATAATTTGTAAAGAGTTAAAGTTTCTGCAGAGAAAAGCTTGATATGAAACCAATCAGAACCCAAACAAAGCAGTTTTCAGGTCAGCAGTGAGCATCAGAGCTGCTGCAGGAACGCTGACTCTCATGGTTTCCAGGCTGCGGCTGCAGGATGCGGAGCAGCTTCAGGGTTTTGAACGCACCTCTTTGGGTTTGTCGCTGACGTCCGATGAGCAGGCGAAGCCGATGTCAGGATAAACCGACGACCAGCCTTCCTCCGTGCAGTTCCTGCTCAGGTTACCTGACAGAAACAGAAACAGTTCAGTCTTTTACGTTTCAGCTGTGTATGCTACCTTCTACTCTTTAAGTCAAATAAATGTAGCAAGTTTTAGATTTTTAACCTAAATGTGAGTTTGTCAAAGATAAACTTACAGTAGTAAGTTGTGCTGACTTTTTATTAATTTGGTCAAACCTTCAAGAGTTGAATAAACAGGAGTTTTCAGGTTAGTACTTAAAAAACTGAAAGGTGAAAAAGACAGGAGAGGGAACCATTTCCCAGAGTGCTTAGCGGCATGTTTTTGTAACTCCTTGATTTCCTCAGATCATATAAGTATTTTCTTTCCATCGGTATCTTCAGTCTTTCTTTTGAAAGTTTAATCCATTATTATTATTATTTTAAACACAATCCTTCGGTAAACCAACTGTAGCGCTTTGAGGCGACGTCACGGTAAATAAACGGTTGTTTACATGCAGTACCCTGAGGGCCCCTGGGGGGCGCCGGCGGACCACCAGTGGACCAAAGTTTGATAAAGACCACTCCATGTGGATTAGAAAGGCTTTAGCTTGAAATGTAATCTTGTCTTTGTAACTGATTGTTCCGCCGTGAGAACAGAGCAGTCCCTATAAATCATTAGGAGAATAATTGCGCCTGTCCTCCAGCGTCCAGCAGGGCGGGGACATTTTGGAGCCACAGCTGCTGCTGTGAAAGCTGCTGATGACTCCATGTCTCATCACTTCAGCAGCTGAGCTGAAGCTTCCTTTGTTGCTTTCTGCTGCAGCATCGAGGCGGATGAGCCACCCAGAGATAACGACACTTTACCGCGATCGAAAACAAGCTGAGAGGGAAAAACGCAGCAGAAGACAGGATTTTAACGAACAGAACAGAGAAAAAGATCCAGAAATAAAAATATAAAACCACAGAAACAAATAAACGTAATTACTAACGCAGCTAATCAACCTGATGGGGGAAGGAGACTGAATCCTCTATGATAAATTACGGAGGACTCAAACTGCCAAAATCAACAACAAATAAAAGCATTTAGAAAAGAAAAACAATAATCATTTAAATTATGTCGCAACAATTTTCTCTTTGTTTATTTTTGCTATGATTTTGTAAAGTATTAAGCAGACTAATGACTCTAAAACTTCTTCTTATTTTAGTGATGTTGTCTCCAAAAGAAAGGACGCTGCAGCCCTGGCACAATCAATCAATCAATCAATCAATCAATCAATCAATCAATCAATCAATCAATCAATCAATCAATCAATCAATCAATCAATCAATCAATCAGAATAATTTCCATCTGCATGATTTATCATTTTTCTGTTTTCTCTCTTTTTGCCAAAAACTGGATGGTAAAAGTTTCCAGTCTGCTGATTTGGAGTCAACTAGGGTCATTTTGTTTTATTTGTTGTTTCTGTTGGTTATTTTATTTTATTTTGAATATTTAACAAGTCTTCCAGTTCCAGAGTTAAATGTTTGTTATAATTTAAAGCTTATTGATCTTTGAGAATGTCTTCTTGAATTATTAACCATTATTATCACTATATTGCTTGAAAATGTTGTCAAAACTACAATATTATCTTTTATTGCAATAACTTCTGGAACAATTTATCGTCTATTAATGTTTGTTATGGTGACATCATCACTTTGCATCAAAATGCAGGAAACGAAGAATAATATTTTTCTGGATCATCAAGAAGCTGAGATTCATCTGCAAATTAAATTCACATCAACAATATTTTATTAATCCCAAAATGAATATTAAACATTGCTAATAAAACATTTGACCATAAAAAGTAACTTTGCGACCTGGTGGAAAATCACCAAAACAGTAAAACTCATTAGATTCCTGACAGAAGGAGATGGAGAGATTGAGTTCAGGAGGCTGAGATTTCATCAGAAAGTGAAGTTTCACATTATTCAAAGTCGGGATAATCATCATCTCGGTTCCCTAATCTCATTACCGGATTAGGATCCTCAGAAATGTTTGTGCAGAGAAGAGAAAAGGCTCCGAGGTCGGAGTGAACTTTGAAACTATGAGCTCCTCATCCGTCCTGACAGGAATCTGATCCTCACGGGGATTTTATCCTCCTTATCCAAACACCTTCCCAACATTTCTGCCATTTTTATTCACAACGTTTCTATTATCACCAGGTTTTCATGCCTTTTTAATCATAAATTAGATTATAATCCACCTCTATTGTTATCAGTCTAACTGGCAGGAAAACAGTTTCTGTGTTTTATTCATAAAATTCAATAAGGATCCAAATTCATATTTTTTACTAAAGTTTCATCTTCGTATCTGTTTGTTTTGTCTTTTAATCCAGATTTTTTTTTCTCTCCGACTGAAGTGAAATCAGAACAAACTTTTCTTGTTTCAGGTCCGTTAGAATCAACAAAATTATTTTTATTTGCTGAATTGAACAGTTTGATTTTTACCAACTGTAATTAAATATCTGGATGGATTACGGCAAATCTGACGCCTCATTAGAGAGAGCCATTTTCTTTTACTTACTGGAGTTTGGTCCTAAAAAAGGAATATTTTTTATATTTGTGTGAGACAAATATAAAAAATATTTTTATCTGTTTATATTTAAGAAACAGACAGAAGAGACAATATTCCTTCATCTAAAAATGAATCAAAACTTTTATTTATTTAAAAATTAAAATTAAAATCAAATAAAAATACATTTCTCTTACCAATTAACTAGGATTATATTGGAATTTATGTAAATAACTTTGCATGATTGGATTTATTGTTAAGCTGCACTGAGACAATATTTAAATAAACTGAAACCAGTTCAGTTTCCAGATGTTTTAATGGTTTCCTGTTTGAACTTTACGCCTCGTAGATTTAATCGGGTCGGATCTGATCGTTTTGAAGAACGGTTTCAGATTTCTGTGAACATCTGATATGACTGTGTGTCAGATTATAATCTAGAATAAAATAATGATTTTTATTGCCGACTGCAGAGATGTTGGTTTTAATCTGGAAGCTCTTCCAGGTTTTTCCTTGAACTTTTAGTAGCGTTTTCTGAGAAAGATGAATGAGGAAAGGAGGAAGTGTGTGTGTGTGTGTGTGTGTGTGTGTGTGTGTGTG